CAGAGGTCTTAACAGGTGGCTGAGATTTAGATGTCAGACTTTGGCCCACTGAGTGACCACCACTGGCAGTGTCTTCCAGATCTGCAGTTGATGCAGCTCCTGCCCTAATTGGTGACTAAGAAGCAAATCCGCTGCTTCTCCAGTCCTGATTGGCCTAGAAGGGCCATAATAACCCATTCAAATAGTTGCCTTCCCCAACCCTTGGAAGCCAGGATGAAGCTGAAGCTTGACCAGTGACTCAAAGGCCTTTGTGGTCATACTTTTCATTCTGCTATTAAAATGCCTCTGATGGGAAATGCTGCGAAGCCAGGCTCTCCTGGCACAGTTGTAGCATTGGTCCCTCATCAAAGAGCCTTAAAAATGGTTTCTGGCTGGCCTCCTTTGGGGCTGCGGTGGCTGTTGTTACTTAATCTCATATGCTGCCCAAATCCCAAGGATTCTGGCTGGCCAATGCTGGGGTTGGTGGTGGTGATGACTTTATGGTTTCCATAAAGAGCTGCATGCTATGAAGAGTTTGACTCCAGATCAGTCTTGTGGCACAAGCATTCATTGGGATAGGAGCCATTCACATTCACACGCCCTCTTCAAGAGGAGAAACCATGTTGGCCAGAGAGCATGACATGAGTGGGTCTGCGTGTTTTTATCTCCGCATTGTTTATGAAATCCCAGCAATGAAGACATGTTAGAAATGCTGTGAAATCCATCTTTTTAATGGGAAGTTTCTGCTTTTGGTGGAAGTGAGGAAAAATCCTAGAGAATTTGTAAACATAAAATGATCTGTTGGCAGTGAAGAAGAAACACATTACACACACACACACAGCCCATAAGTATTCCTGGTTTCGTCTGTTGGTCTGTCTTATTCAACTCATTGTAAGATAGAAGGTAAGAGAGAAACGGTGCCCTCCTCCTTTTCCTCCACTCCCCTCTCCTTCCTTTCTTTCCTTTCTTTTCCCAAAGCTTGGCAGAACGCCAGATGACTTACATTACTGTAATAGATTTGATGACCTCTGACTTCCGCTGCAGAGGCGTATGCTGAATTTTTCATTATATCAGGGGATACTGAAAGCTAAAAACTCAGGATGAGAAGCTGCATTATTTAAACCAACATTCAGTTACACAGATTTTTTTCCCTTATTCGTTAAAGGGAGGGGGAAATTGTTGCAATTAAATGTCATCTATCGCTGCATTAAGTGAGGATTAATGCAGTTCCAGTTTGTTCAATCAGCTTGTATGGATTTTTTTGAAGTTGCCATGATTATTATTTTTTTTGCAAAGGATAATCTTGCTTTTCATAGTCGTTGAATTTAATCAGCAGCTCGGTTGATAGCAAAGGCTTCCCTACTGTTTCTGCTGTGGACTGGAAAATGTTATTCTTTTATTATTGCAGGAGAAAAAATTGCCCCGTGCTGTTCCAAAATCTGCTACCTATGGAAAAATTGTTTTTTAATGTGTGGCTGTTTACATTTTCTAGTTACGGCAATTATCCCTTAAATAATACATTTTATTAACTTAAACATAGGAACTGTACTTTATAATGCTGTTATGGGTAAAAGCACATATCCAGATGGAATCTGGGAGCAACCTGGGAGTAAATATTGGAGTCTTTCTAACTGTTCTCCATGCTGGTAAATCTGCACTGGGGCTTGGACCCCACAGAAGGGCTCCTCTGTTGTACAGACAGAAAACCAGCAGATTTTAGTGCCAAAATGCTGAACCAGGAAAACTTAGTTTCCTACCAAATTTAAAATTGGAAGCCAAAAATACATCATTTCAAATCACCTCAAATATTGCCCCCCCCCCAAAAAAAAATCCTCATAAAATTGAAAGTCTTGCTCTGATCCATTCTCCTGTGGCCAGAACCCCTCTGCCTTATTCCTACTTGCCAAAACGGGAGTGAGAATCTGTGGGAAGAGAGAGGTGGTGCCATGCAGGGCAGCAGAAAATGGGGGGGGGGGTGTCCTGAGAACAGTTTGGAGAGGAAGCCCTGTGGAGGGAGAGGCCGCCAAGGCAAGCAGCCCAGGAACCTTGAGGGAAAAGCCCCACCAGCCTCTGTCCACCTTCGGCCTTCCCTGGGTCCACATCCAGTTGGGGAGGGGGGCTGTCTTGGGGGGGATACCAACCCCTCCTGGCTTATTTTCGTTATGGTTATGAAGGGGACCCTTTTATTTTGCACAGGGGTTGATGTCAGTCTTCAGCTGAGTGACAATAATTACACAGAAATTAATCAAGCTGCTCATTTCAGGCCTGTTGCATTTGCAAAGCAGAGAGCGGCATTCTTCCTGTCTGGGCAATATTGGTGTGGGTGTGGGTGTGGGTGTACGCATACATGTTATTGTTGTGTTTTACTAAGAGAGCAGCTGGAGGTTTGAGTCTCCCATCCACTGGATTATGCTTGTATTGTAACAGCACCTAATAATGACATGATAAGATCGCACATCCTGTGGTAACCGTGTTGGGCTTCAACAGAGAGAAAAAAGAGATTAAGGGTGGGGGGAGAGAAACAGTGGAAATTCTAGCCCTGGAAACCTCATCAGTTACAGTTGTCATGGAGGGGCTCCGTGGCGCTTTCAGTTGTATCAGTCAGTATATTCCCTCAGGCTTCCTTTTGAGCGGAGCTTCCTCGCAAAGTCTGGGTGCTGCAGAGCTGCCCTCCTGCTGCCTCCACCCTTTCCCCATCATTCCAATGCGCAGCTACCTGGGACCAGCCAGGCAAGGGGCCCTTGGCCTTTCCCTGGGGGCAGGGGGGAATGCTACCACCCACCCTTGGCGATGACCAGATCACAAAGGAGGCTGCAGGCTTCCTGGGGCTGTTGGGGGCCAAATTGGGGGCTGTTGGGGGCCAGGGGGCAAGGTTTCTGGACCGGTCTGTGAAGGAGGATCCTGAACCCCGAGGGGGGTGCAGAGGTTGGGGCCCCTGCTGGGCTGCTGATTTATCAGCCGAATATGCAGATTTCAAAGAGGCTGCACGTTCCCATAGCAACCCAAATCAAACAATCTTTTCTGCAGTGCTAACACATCTTGCTGCAAAAATGTGTTTTGACTAAATCTGATTCTTTAAATATTTAACATATGGCAGAGAAGAGATAAATATTGCTCTGCAAGCAACCCAGCCAACTCTCCTTTGCTTCTTCAGGAAGAGCTGGAGCAGGAGGGGCAGTCGGTCCCCCCCCCCCATCAGCCTTGTTTTACTCCTTGTTTCACTACATAAACAGTCACTGTAATGTTACCGCGGGAAGTATTTGGCAGCGTCCCTGCTATTTTGCTAAGCCTGCATAGAGGGAACGTTTCCCAGTTCCAGCAGCTGTAACATGTTTAAACTCAGTTTGTAATGGGATCTGAAGAGGACTTTTCCCCTGGGCTGGGCCTCCTTTGGAGGTGGGGGGGGGCAGAGGCTGGGCTCAAAAGCAGCCTCCTCCCACACTTGGCCCTGGCAAAGCATGCTCAGCTAATGACTCTGGTTTCTAATAGAGCATGAAGTAGGTTTATATTTAACATCAATTATGCTGCACTTTATTAAAATATGAAATTCTATCATTGTGAAGACGCGAATCCCAGCTCTCTCTGCATTGGGACATCTAAATCTAAACCACGCAGTCTGGAGTGGATTCTGGAACAACCCAGAAAGCAAAATTTGCATTCGAACAAAAGCATTTTTTTACTTTGAATCCATAGATTAAACTATAATTAAAGCAGTCTGATATTTGAACAGATTAATGTTGTTTCTAAAGCCAAGTACATTTTTTTCACAGATGCCTTTAAAAACATGTTTGCTATATAAAAGTTCCCATTTTATTCCCACCATGAGTAATTCATTAATCACATTGAATGCATTATAAAAACTTTAATCACAGATGCTGAAACTCTGATAGCCAGTGTGTGTAACCCTTTCGTTAGCGCGAAGGAACTCGTCCTTTTTAAATCAAGAGCCACACTGGGGAGGGGGGAAAAATAGCACTGAGATTTATTTTCTAAAAAAGAACCATTCAGGAGGCAGGGATTTTAAAAAAATAAAAACTTGGGGTTCCTACCCGGTCTCTCTCCTCTTGTGCTTTCCCTTAAGTAAAGAGGGGTCTCTCGCCTGCCTCTGCATCCCCTCAGCCTTCCTCGGTTTTCCAGCACACCAATATCTCGTCTGCTGATGGAAAATTCAGTGCCCCAATTTTTACAGGTGGAGGTCCAGGTTGGGGAATTCTCATGGATGCGTAGACCAACTTTATTTAGTGACCCAAAATGGCATTAAAAATAAAAGCTTAATTCGGTTGACTTAAAGGGTCAAACTTCAGAAAAATAAGTAGCTTGTTTGCTAAGGGCTGATTTGATCCAACTCAAAATCTCATTTTGATTTTTTGAACCAGCTCAAAAGAGATCCAAAATCTCTTCCCCAGATAGAGCACTCTAATGACATACTAAGACTTTTTTCTAGTGAGTGTACAGCTGATTGGGAGCAACAAAATAGATACACACACACACACAAACACACGTACACAATCATGTTGGGGTGAATGTCATTTACGAGTTTTTAAAACCATCCCCTTTGCTAAGGATTCCCTTAGCATTGAGAATTGTTTAATGCTTACCAAAAACTGTAGACTACGATGGCATCAAAGGGTTCTTTCAAAGGAAGACCTCTTTGATGACTTAGAAATCCAGGATGTAACCAAAGGAGAGCGTCTCATTTAAAGCAAAGCAAAACCAAAAACCAGATTCCCTTTTGAGCAGGACAGAGAGGGGTCCATGGATGGGGAGTTGGGGGGGAATTGGGAATGGAACTGGCCTTGGCTACCCTAATGCCACATGGAGGACCCTCCTAATGCTCGTGGTGACCCCACCCTGGACCTCCAAGCTGGAGATCCTTCCCTGCCCAAAGCAGCTGCAGGCCTGCCTCCTCCCGGCCTCCCCAAAGGATGTCCTGGTGTTTTTCCAGGACGTTTCCACTACTAAGACATGGTTTCTTCCCGTGGGTGAGAATCTCCATAACTGACTGATGATTTGTTCTTTAGATTAATCCTGCCCTATGAAAGATACATTAAAGGGGAGGAAGACAAGCCGTTGCCTCAGGTGAAGCCTCGAAAGCAAGAGATCACTCAGGAGGTGGAGAGTAAGATAAAATTGACGGGCACAAAGCGCATCAAACATGAAAACATGAAGAACAAGAAGGAGCGAGAAGAGGCACCAAAGCCCCAGGACCCAGCAGAGGTCAGTCCTACCTGTTCCCGTTTGTGTGTCCCAAACTTTTCATTCTTTCATCTGTACCGCTCCATTTTGATCACCAGGTGGCTCTCTTTGGGGACGAGAGCTGACTAAAGCGCTAAAACGCTCCCTTGCTGCCAGCCTCACATTCTTCTCAGCACGCAGGGAGACTTAAAAGCAGCTGCAGAGGCACCAATCCAGGAGAAGATGGAGCTTTGTCTCCTGCCTTCCATCCATCTCCTGAATGCAGCACCTAGACAATTCCTTTCCTGCTGCTTTCTCTTTGGGCCTGAGAAAGAGAGGGAGAAGGACAGCAGCTTAGCTTAGCCCAGGAGTCCCCAAACGCGGCAGCTTTAAGATTTGTGGACTTCAACTCCCAGAATTCATAGCTGGCTGGAGAATTCTGGGAGTTGAAGTCCACAAGTCTTAAAGCTGCCAAGTTTGAAGACCTCTGGCTTAGTCCATCACGCTGTGGTCAGGGCCTCCTGCCTAAAGACAGCTGGGGAAGGAAGGTGATTTTATTTTATTTATTTATTTTTTATTTTATTAAATTTATATACTGCCCTACTCCTGAAGGACTCAGGGCGGTGAACAGCCAAAAAATAAAACACATAGATTACAAAATTTAAAAAAACAATATAAAACCACATTAAATAAATTTGGCCCGGAACAAATTAAAACACCCCCAATACTTAAGACAGATTTAAAATTTACAATTTAAAAAGTTAAAAGGGAGGAGTTAGGCCAGGCCGGCCTGTTGAAATAAGAAACTCTTGAGGGCGCGGCGGAAGGTGCGTAGATCCGGGATCCTCCGTATCTCCGGGGGGAGCTCATTCCAAATAGTAGGCGCCCCCACAGAGAAGGGTCTCCCCCTGGGGGCCGCCAGTCGACACTGTTTGGCCAAAAGGTGGTAACCAAAACCTTGTCGCGCACCCGGAAGACCACCGGGAGCCAGTGCAGCTCATGCAGGAGAGGTGTTACATGGGAGTGCCACGTCGCTCCCATAACCACCCGCGCGGCCGCACTCTGCACCAGTTGGAGCCTCCGGGTGCTCCTCAAGGGGAGCCCCATGTAGAGAGCATTACAGTAGTCCAGGTGGGAAGTGACAAGGGCATGAGTGACCATACGTAAGGAGTCCCAATCTAGAAAGGAACGCAACTGGCGGATCAGGCGAACCTGATGAAAAGTCCTCCCGGTCACAGCTGTCAAGTGCTCTTCTAAAGACAGCCGTGAATCCAGGAGTACACCCAAGTTGCGAGCCCTCTCCTTGGGGGCCAACGACTCGCCCCCAATAGTCAGTGATGGCACCAACTGACTATATTGGGACACCGGAAACCACAGCCATTCGGTCTTGGATGGGTTGAGCCTGAGTCTGTTTCTCCCCATCCAGATCTGCACGGCCTCCAGGCACCGGGACATCACCCCATCATTGGGGTGGTCCGGGGTGGAGATGTACAGCTGAGTGTCATCAGCGTACTGATGGTACTTCACCCCGAAACCATGGATGATCTCACCCAGTGGCTTTACATAAATGTTGAACAGAAGGGGCGAGAGGACCGACCCCTGTGGCACCCCACATATAAGGCACCTCGGGGTCAACCTCTGCCCCCCTGTCAACACAGACTGCGACCAGTCGGAGAGAAAGGAGGAGAACACAGTAACACAGTGCCCCCCACCCCCAACTCTTCCAACCGGTGCAGGATTGCAGGATTTGCAGGATTGTCAGGCAGCTGCTCCTCAGGTGAAGCACACGAATGGCCTCAGCTTCACTCTCTTTGTAAATGGATGGACCGAGGAAACTGAAGAGGGAGATTCTTAGCAAAATGGTCTGAAGGAACACTCACCATAGGGAAAGCCCAAGACTGCCCTGCCCAGAAGGGGGAGGGGAGCTTTCTGTGTCCCTCCTGGGCATCTTTCCCAATCTCTTGGCCTGGTTTCCCTCCAGCTCTGCCCTCGGTCCACACTGACCCCCTTCCAGACACCCTAAGAGAGATCCTTCTTTATAGAAAGGGCATTGAAAGCTTAAATCTAAAACAGAGATTGAGGATCCATTTTGGCTGGGATTGGGTTCTGTCTCCCTGGGCTGCTCCGTGAACCCAGCAGCAGCAACTGTCCCTTAATTGGCAGGTGGGCCTTCCATGAAGGTTGTTGGGTCTCCATACAACACTGAAGATGCAGATCAGGAACATAGCTTTGCCTGCTCGTTATGGTGGGATAGAAGAGGGGGGGCTGAGTCCTAATTCTTCCCCAAGTGGAAAACTCTTGTGGAGGCCACTAGAAAATCCTGCAGGCTTTAGCACAAGGGCCGAGGGCTTTGTTTGCAGATAAAATGCTTGTCTTGGTAGTGTTTTCTCACAGTTTTCTCTCCAAATCTTTTACTAGGGTTCATCGGCCAAAGAGAAGAATCAAGAATGCTCATTGCAGAAAAGCTTATCGGACCTGACTGCAGCAGAAGCCATGAAGCTCTCTGCCGAAGGGTCTCAGCTCTCCCCTCCGACGGCCCCTAGAGTGGCCTTCTTGGAAGAGGAGGAGCCCCTGGCTGACGCATCTCTGGTCTCCCCTGAAGCCATGATCAGAAGCCCACCACTGGAGGAGCTGCAGGAGGAGCCCAAACAGGAACTATGTGGGGTGTCATGTTTTGCAGACGGCCTCGAGGAGGAGGCCCAGGCAATTCCATTCACCAACTTCCCCAGCCTCCAGCTGCCCCTCCCAAGTCAGAATGAGATGGAAGATGATAAAATCCCAGAGATGGCGGACTACATTGCCAACTGCACGGTGAAAGTGGATCAGTTGGGCAGCGAGGACATCCACAGTGCCCTGAAGCAGAACCCCAAAGTGCTGGTGGTGCAGAACTTTGACATGTTCAAGGAGAAGGACCTCCCGAGTCCCTTCAATGGGGACCCCGGGTTTGGTTCCACCCCATTGCTCTACTCCAAGGGCAACCCAGGCATCATGTCCCCTCTGGCAAAAAAGAAGCTCCTCTCCCAGGTGAGTGGGGCAGCCCTATCCTGTGGCAACTACCCGTATGGCTCCCCACCACCACTGATTAGCAAGAAGAAGTTCAGCAGCAAAGACGACCTCTTGTCTGGCAGGCCGGGACTGCTGTCTTCCAGGCATTCGATGGACAGTGCAGCAGTCAGCAGGCCATCAGTCATCCAACACGTGCAGAGTTTTAAACCCAAGACTGCGGAGGACAGGAGGCCCACTCACGATGCCTACAGACATGAGTCCCTGCTCAAGAAACCAGACTCTGAATGTTGTGATTTTTCCAAGCAGCATTTGAGTGCCCTGGCAGAATCCTACGCGCTAAAGTCAGAAATCCAGGACATGAAGGAGCGAATGAATGAGAGGAGGGCCCTGCACCACTCGCACATGCCAGGCTTCCTGGCGGACTTCTATGCCTCCCCTCCCCTCCACAGCCTCTATAGGCGTGCTGAGCACCTAGGGAGCCAGCCGTGCTCCAAGTACTTCCCCCGAGACATGTACGGGGAAAATGCTGCCGGGTTCCCTCCCCATAAACTTCAGGACAGGCGACTACTCAGCTACCATCCCCCTTTGCACCAGCCAGAGAACAAGACCTCCCGGGAAACCTCCTCAGATGATCAGCCCACAGATCTGAGTCTTCCCAAAGGGGGCCACAAACAGACAACAAAAACCTTGGGAGCCCCTCTCTTGCGGGGTTCACCCAAGGGGGCAGAGGAGAGCAAAAGCGCCACCCGGTTCCACTCCTTGACTGGCCAGACTCTAAGCATGGATGGCAATCCAAAGGCTTGTCGGGTCTCCCCAATGACGGTCTCCGCCCCAAAGAAACAGGGGGAGCCCCTCCTGAGGGCCTGCAAGCTGCCAGCCCCGAGAAAGTTGGATGGGATGGTACACCCAGTCCTGAGCCACAAAGCCATGGCTCCGGGCATCGGGGCAGCTCGCCCTCTGAAGCGCAGCCTGGAGGACCTGGACAAAGGCCTTTTGGAGAAGAAGGTCCGAGCAGTCTCGCCCTTGCGCTTACCAAAGGAAGCCCCTTCCAAAGAGCAGGACGTGGAGGGCAGCAAGCCAGTGCATGGCCCACCCCCAGGTGGGGCGCTGGAGGGCCACAAGTTCCCCCTCTCCAGCCCCATCTTCACAAGCTTGTATCCAGGGACCCTGTGCGGCGGCCTGGGCAGCCGCATGCCTGCAACTGGTTATTCCCACCCCCTGCAGTACTTGAAAAACCAGGCCGCCCTCTCCCCCCTGGTGCAGCCATTTGCGCTCCACTCCTTCATGGTGCACAGACAGTTCCTCACCTCCCCAGGCAGCTCTCAGCAGCTTTACCGGCACTTGGCGGCAGCCTCCCCTGTGGGCAGCTCCTACGGGGACCTTTTGCACAACAGCGTTTATCCTTTGGCGGCTCTGAACCCCCAGCCTGCTTTCCCCCCCTCCCAGCTCTCCTCTGTACACCCAAGCACAAAGTTGTAAATGCTCCTGAAAAATGGCATCCTGCAAATGACATTCCTTCAGCCCACAATCCTGTCTTGCAAACAAGTATATCAATATTTGTGATAACCAATAAGCGGTTTTGCTCCTCCCTGCTGAGCGCTTTGGGTCTGACTGAGACGCGGCTCCCGCTTAGCTGGGCTTGAGGCCAGACTGCTGGGCTTCCTCCGAGCCGCCTCACTGGTGTGCCTCTTGCTGCACAGAGGGCTGCAGGGGGTTAGGGTTTCCTGGCAGCCGAGGCTCAGGTGCGCCTGGGCCCCAACTCAGAGGAAGGGCCCTCTCGGTTTGCCCCACCCCCACCCCCGGGCAGCAGCCTTGAAACCTTTCAGATAAATCTGGAAGGCAGGAAACGCCACCTGGGGAAGTTGCTTCTTTGGGTACCATTTCAGAGTTCAAATCAATGCAATGTATAGAAAAACTGTGTCAACTTTCATCTTAACACTATCAGAACAGAAAAAGTAAACACAAAATAGACTGTACATATCTGCTTCAGAAACAAGAATGACCCGTGTCAATTTCATTTGTATAATTTATGTAAGTTCTTATTTTCCGCGTATCATGTGCTGTTTTTTAAAGAAAAAAAAATTAAACAGCTCCTTTTTATTTGCCACTTTTTTTCCCTTTTCCTTTTGTTTTTTAGTGCAAAAAAGGAGGCTCTGGATATTAAGGGCTTTTTAAACTTTGCATTTGTCTCTCTCTGCCTTTCCTCCTCTGCTTATATTTTGAAGGCAGCTTTTGGGGAGGGGGTTACACCCACTTTCATGGGACAGAAGCCAACTATGATCAAAAAGTCCCAATTCCCCCCCAGCCTGAGGTTGCTGGGTCCTGCCTCGACCCTTCGGAGCAACTCCACCCTCGCAGCCGAGTGCGGCTTTCCTGTCTCAAGGCCGGCCTGTCGGTTACGAACTGCAGCGCTCAATCTCTTACAGGCTGCCCGACTGTCCTTCGGTCCCAGAGGAAGCCTCCCATGCACCATCAGTAACGTTGGCATGCAGATGAGTCTCCACAGGGGTTGCGAGAACTTCAGCCACAGCCATTAGATTAGAAGAAGGGGAGAACATTTTAGATCCTGCCGTCCAAGGGAATCCCTTGAAAAGAGAGCCCGGTCGATCTGGGCTTCTTCAAAGCAGAGTCAAGGAAGGGTTGTCCAAGAGCTAGTCTAGCCATTAATTGTTTGAATTCTTGGTTGGTTGATCTCGGCTAGATTCCCCAATATACTTTAAACCTTGGCTTTCTAGCAGTCATAAAGGCAGGGTAATGTAAAAAACTTTGAAGCAGAGCACTGCTTTGGACGCCCCCCCCCCTTCTTCCACTGAGCCAGGCCAGGGAGCATCTTGGTCTACCTCTTCCTGATTACAATGCCTTCCAGAGTCTGCACAAGTTATGTGAGGCTTTGGCAGAGCCCCTCATTTTATGACCCACCTGTGCTTCACCCTGGGTGTGTGGCACATGTGTGCGCCTCCATCCTCTCTGTGCCTACTCCTTCTGCTGTGGAGCTCCCAGCTTGCCTCTGAACCCTTGAAAGGCAGCCACATCCAACTGGGGGGAACTGGGGGGAGCATGGATGGCTTCATCTGTGTCCAGCCTGTCTCACTATGAGCCGTTTCCCCTATGCCTCCTCCATCCCATTTCAGCATTCAACTGTGATAAAACAGAATTAAAAGAATAAACCGCACCCCCACAAAAATGTATTTAAACATCTGTTTCAATATATTTCAAACATACGTTCCCTCAAAGTACATAAATCTCAACAAATTTTCTCTTTAAAACATGGGGGTTTTTTAACCATGAACTGCATAAAAGAATAGTGAAGTGTGAAAACCAAAAAATAACTGCACTCTCGTCCACTCCTAGACCAGGAGACAAAGTTTCGTATTAAAATTTGCAAGGAGCCAGTTCTTCCTCCCTGGCTGAAAGAGCAAGAGCCGCCATCTCTGGAGCTCTTGGTGGGGGTTCAGGTCAGGGTCAAAGGGGGGGGTTGTGCCAGCCCTCCTGACTCTGGCAGCAGAAGAGCCTCCTCCTCTGGACTACATCCAGCCTCGCTCCAGCTGTTGTGGGAGGTTTCCCTTTGAGATTGGGATCCCAAGGGCTGGGGCAGAACTCACCTTTCGGGCTGAGGAACGCTCCCAGCTCACCCTGTTTGGAACTGCAGGGTGGCCAGAAGAGACTCAAATCTCACTTGCCTCGAGCCGGACCAGAAGTTCCAGACCGGCATCGCTTCTTCTGGAGGGCAGATGAGCCCAGTTACACAGCAGCAGCTCTGAGCCTCCAGGCAGGAGAGGGCAAACCTGACCCCTCTGAGGGGCTGCCGATGCTCTTTCCCTCACTGGGTGCATCCCCATCCCAGAAAGCTGTGGCTTCTTGGCCTTTGCCCTGGATGTCGGTGCAGAAAGGCCGAGATTGAAGGAAGCCCCCAGTAATGCCAGGATCCAAATCTGTCCAGTTCCACTGCAGTAAATCATCCAACCAACGGGATCTAGTGGAAACTACTTAAAATGCAACTTGCCTGCATGCCCAACAGCCTCTCGTGATATATAATGTAAGCTACTATATATATATATATATATATATATAAACCGAGTAGATGTGATTCTACTGAGCTGGAGCTACAAAAAACCTTGGTTATGTAGGGAAAACCTGGCTAGAAGAAAAAAAGAAAAGAAAAAGAAAAACATATATATATATATATATATTGATGGGGAGAAACACAGTAATAGACAGATATTGTTATCTTCAGTTAAATGCTTTTATGTTCTTGTGCATAATTATACTAACTGACGATGCATAAACAGGCTTCTAGAACACTCAGCACATAACTCTGCTGGGGTGTGTGCGTGTGTGTGTGAGGAGAGGGTTGGTGTTCCTATTGGTTGAATAGTGAATGCAAAGACCCCCCTCATCCCAGTCAAAAGGTTTGCTCGTTTGCACTAACCCCGAGCAATGGCACTCAAGGTGGGGAGGCAGGTGGCTGGCCAGGCTGGGGAATCAGAGGAGCTGCGGCTGGTTTTGAAATCGGGATAATTTTCAGAGAGGCTTCTTGGAGGTGCCTCTTTGTCCTTGTTCTTTGTCCTTCGTGCGGCCCTTTTTGCTGGTGACGGGAGACCATCCGCCACGACCATCTCCCCTTGCACTCCCACAGCCTTCCCGATGCTTTGGGGGCGGGGACAGCTGCTCTTCTCTGCCAGGGCCAGGTGGGGCTTCTGCTGGCAAAGGGGCTTTCCTGCCATGGTCACCCTCTCACTGGAGATGGAGCTGGTTTTTGAAAGTTGGACCATTTCACCATCTCTCTTTCCCTGCATTATTTTGGAAACAATTCAGACTGTTTTAAGGCATCCTAGTGGAGAGTTATTTCCATCTTTGGTCCAGAAGAAAAATGTATTTATTTTTAGATATCTTGGCCATTTTGAGGGCAAACGGGAAGTAGTGATGGCATGACGGGCTCCCTTGTGGGGGGCGGGAAGCCTGCCTTCTCTTCTTTGTTTTAAGATTCCATTTCTATTAAGTCTTAAATGGGGCTATGTTTGAGTTCAAGAGGCCTTGTGACTGAATAAAATTGCACAAGTTTTTCTTTGTGCAATCAAGCCATTGTTATTAGTAGACTGGCAAAAGAATGAGCAAAATCTAATTGGCAGCAGAAAGGAAGAAATCTCTTGAGTGGACTTTCCTTCCCAGAAGTGTTGCAATTCCAGTGCACTCTGCTCGGGATTTAAAGATTTTGAAAGCTGGTAAGATCAAAGACAAAGAAAAATGCTTTTCATATAATATCCTGTTAAAAACTAAAGGCACTATACTGGGCGAGGCATTTTGCAGTTGGATACTTATGGTAATAATTAGAACAGAGAGCAGTTTGCCATTTTAATAAAGCTCCCAAGTAAAACCCATACGTCTCCTGGCTTGTTGAACCGCTGCATGAATGAAAGACCTCAGGCAGGACCCCTTGGTAGAGGAACATTCCTGCTCTTGGAGTCACCCCGGTCCCACCCAGGGGTCACCTTGGCATCTAGCTGGGCAACAGGATTCCAGAGCAGCTTGAGAGATTTTGGCATGGATGTCTCTGGGTGAGGGCACCCCCTGCCCTTCAGGGGAAGATCTGTCTGCCTGGGTCTCAATCCCTTCCCTGGCAGAGGGTGGTTACTGGGGTCTCCCATGCCTGACCTTGCTGACTCCCCTTTGGCTCCAAGGCTGGAGGTGGCCAGAAGATGGGTGAGGTTTGCCTCGATGTGTGGAGGCATCCTTTAACTTCAAAGGGATGTGGAAGAAATGGCGGCTCCTCTGGGACATTCCCACCTTTTCAAAGGAGAAGCTGTTTTTTTTCACGTTTCCACGTGAACTTGAAAAATACAGCTGCTTTCTTGTGTTGACCCATTGAAGCAGCTGCATCTTTAATGTGCACCTTCAGTGCTCTGAGACATTTCTCCCAAGTAATTTTAAGAGCACGCGCAATCTATTTTTCATCAATCTTAAGTAGGTCTGGCCAGAGCACATTGCAATAGGGATGGTCAAATTTGCCCCTTTTCATGATTTGTATCATTTAGAATGGGAAAAAAATGTGTCTTCAATATGAGGCCTGCAGAACTAAAGCTTATCTTGAGCAGTTAACTGATGTTTGCTGTAAATATATTTGATATTTTACATGTATTTCCTCCTCCCCAATATTATAAATATGACCTAAGGGCAGCATAATCTACAGGCTTGTTTTAAGCATTCTTTCGTTTGTACATAGTGTACACATTTTTGTCATTTATGTTACTGTAGGTTATATGCCCGATAAGGTGATTATCTGTAAATAGAAAAAAAATGGCCCAATAATATCACAGTTCCTCATTTTTCAAAAAAATAAAAGGGTTATTGAGTAACCTTTTGCATTGATTAAATTTAACACTACCAGAAAGAAATAAAAGCTGAGCCAAGTATAAACACTCAATTTTTGTATGTTTTCCAAATTGTATGTATTAATGCTTTTGATACTGTAATATGTGCCAATAGTTTCCCAAACACATAGCAAGCAGAAGATATTTTGTACTTTTTGATCCACTGTAATATTTAATAAAAAATGTTACTATCTGTCTCTTTTTGTGTTTATACATACATGAGATTTAATTTCCTTAGTTCTTTCAGAGAGAATTGTGGGCTGCTCCACTAAGACTTTTATTAACCTTTTAAAAGCAATTTATCTGAAAGCAGCATACCCACATACATGTACACACACATATACTCACACGATCTGTAACAAATGATTTTAATAATAAATATTTTAATAAATTTAAATAATTTAAATAATTTAAGTACCATTCAGGCATCAAAAATATCTCCAGATAGGCAGCTACATCTTTGCAAATTAAAGAATGGGAGTGGATAGAGATGTTGTATTAAGGTTTGTTTGGCTTAGTTGTTTTTCAAGTCCAAGAAAAGAAAAGAAAAAATAAATCTATAATTAAATGCATTAGATAAATCTATGGAGTATTTTGCACATTCTATGTATTTACTACTTTACACAGATTGTCTTGGTCCACTTAGTAGGAATACCGAGCGTTTGCACAACACAAGCCCCAAAATCTTGTTCTGCGGCTCCTATAAGTGATAGAGGACTCCCGGCTCTGAGTCCACAGTCCTGGTTGGGAGGTGGTGTGAGGGGTGCAAGGAAGTTTAGGTTTCCACTCACAGGAGGTTCCTCTCTCTGCAGTTTGAGTCTGTGAAGGAGATGTGGAGAAGTTGCACACAGCACTGCCCATGAAGGTAGTAGCTTCTGAGGCAGCTGAGGAATGAAGGAGCCAGAGGTGGTATTCAGCCAGTTCAGACCAGTTTGGGCAAACCGGTAGCTCCGGCCCAACCACCCTGCTATTTCCTGCTTTGTAACTCATCTCAATCGCACGGCACAGCTGATTTCCCCCCCCCCTCGCTGTTCTACTTACCGTTGCTGACTTGGAAGGTAAGCAGCTAAATGCTCCATTTTCAGCGCAAGCGAAACACATTAGGTGCACACACATGCAAAGCGCATGCGCGCAAAGCACACTCTCACTGAAATGGTTGTTAAACTGGCAGCATTCCACCACTGGAAGGAGCATTGTAAGGTGGTTCAGAAAGAGCACCAACAACAGCACTGGGGGCCTCTGGGAGGCCAGTGTTGCTCTCGGTCTGCAGCAGCAGCTCTGTGGCTCTGAGAGGCCTCCTAAAACATTGCCTCATGGCAATGGAATGGAAATTGGGCAGAGCAGATTCCGCAGTAATATCAATAGCAATACCACTTAAACTTATATACCTCTTCACAGTGCTTTATAGCCCTCTTTAAACAGTTTACAGAGTCAGCCTATTGCCCCCAACAATCTGGCTCCTCATTTTACCAACTTCAGAAGGATGGAAAACTGAGTCAACCTTGAGCCGGTGAGACTCAAACTGCCGAACTGCTGGCAGTTGGCAGTCAGCAGAATTAATGGGGAAGACTTTTGTAACTAAGAGCAGGATCTCATGTGACCATCACAGAAAACTGCTGAAGCAGAAATGCTGATTAGTGGACTTTTACCTGACAGAAGAAAGTCTCTATTTTTGCAGAAGATTTCAAGAAAAGTAAGCGATTGCAAGCCCACATTAAACCAAGAAAGCCAGTGTGATATAGAGAAGGGCTAACAACTGGGAGAGAGGCAACTTCTGGTCATTCCTCATTAGGTGACTTTGAGCCACTCCTTGTTCCTTAGCCCAGTCTACCACCCAGGATTGTGATAATGGGAAAAAAGGCAGGAAGGAGGGCTCTGATGGCTGCTTCACCATCATTGCCATCATCATCTGATGCAAAGGTACAGCTAAGGTTGATAACCTTCACCTATTCCATCATGCTAAATATTATATAAAAGCCTATGTTGACTAACACCATGGTTGTGGGGCAAGATCCTGACCTCTGCTGTCCTTCACAGCTTTTGCCAACCATGTCAGGCTTTTCATGAGAAAGAGAGGGAGGGGGGTTATGTATAGGGCAAGCCAAATTTTTCAACTTTCAATTTCCAAACATTAGGGGTGCTCAAAAGTTGTGACATGCCATGGGGATTGTAAAGATTTTTTGGTTACTTTAATATAATTTAGATATGCTTCATAAGTACCTACATAAATATAATAACTTTTTAACATTTTGTTTGTTTCATTTCACAGGTGCAGCTGTTTTTCTCTTTTTGTTAAACGCCATTTTGTCTGAGAGTGCTAATACTACTGGCCTCGTTTCCTGTGAATGTGATAACTGATCTGTAAAAGAAGATCTAAAAAAAGAACAAGACTGGGAACATTCACTCATATGAGCAATCTAACTGGGACTGGCAGAGACTTGTTGCCGTCTAACTCCTAACACTGCAAGACATTCTCAGATATGGCCTACTGTTAAGAGAACAAAGTAGTGTTGATGCTAGAAACTACCCAGCAGCCAGTCTTGCAAGAGACATGTATCCAAAAGTGCTTGAAAAGTGGGAACAAGCAAACAGTTCTCTTGTGACCCCTGTTGTAAATTCACGAGTGACAATCTTGAACAAGATCCAAGAGAGCTGGGACCAAGCCAAAAACATAACTCTTGGTAGAGGAAAGCTAGATGTCAGAGACTTTCACTGTGAAACTTGACAAACTGTTTGACATCCTCAACTGCAAGTGTCAAATTGTTCTGTGTGCCGAATTCGACTGCCCTGCTGGCTGCAAAAAAGAATCTCACATTTAACTGTATCTGCTCTAAGGAGACGAAGATACCATTGAAGGAACTTGCTTTCGTTAAAGGTCAGAGAGAAAGATTGGCTCTTTTGCATTGCACCAGATTGGTTTGCCAGATGTGCCTGAGCAGAAATAACTGGGCAAAAGGCAAAAGGGGCAAGATGATGAGAGACAAAGACTCACTAAATAAAAGCAGAGAAGTATTCCAGACATTTCGATACTGACAAATGAAGTAATTATCTCTTATGATGAAAATGAAGGATAGATGACTGATGATGAAGATGAAGAGGAATGTGATGAAAGTTATTAAGAGGCCTTAGACCCATGATGGCAAACCTCTGGCACGTGTGCCAGAGGTGGCACGCAGAGCACTCTCTATGGGCATGTGTGCCGTCACCAGATGCTCTTCTGGTTTCTGGAGTGCGCATGTGTGCCAACTAGCTGGTCTAATGAGCGCCGGAAAATCTGAAGACCAGCTGGCCAGCACATGCATATGCACCGACCAGCTGATCTTCAAGTTTCTGGTGCTCCGGCGCGCGCATTGCATGCGTTCCGGTTTGGGCACTCAGTGCCGAAAAGGTTTGCCATCACTGCCTTAGACCAAACACGTGCACTCTATTTCAGAAGAAAAGACAGAATACAATAGATTAGAAATAACAAATGTCACTATGCAGAGCATAAGATATGGTGTTGACCTACGTGCCACTGCTGCCATTATCGTAGTCGCCTTCATAGATGCTGGCTTGATCACCAAAGAAGACAAGAGATTTGTAGTTGACCACAATAAAGTCAAGAGAGCCCAGGAAAAAATTATGAAGTTCATGGATCAGGAATTTGATGAGTTCTGTTAGAAGGGCAAAATAAAATGCATCTTCTTCGAAGGCTGTATAGATGCAAGTGAAGTTATGCTGAAAGCAAACAATTCAGAGCAGCAATTCCCCAGTACCATCAAAGAAGAACATTATTCTGTATGCAGTGAGCCAGGTGGAAGATATCTTTATCATTTTACTCCAAAGAAAAGCTCAAAAACAGGAAAACCTGCTCAAGTTATTGGAGATAATCTGGTGTATTTCAGGAAGAAGAAAGGGATTGACAAAAGTTTGAAGGCCATTGGAGGAGATTCTACAAATGTTAATACTGGCTGCAAAGGTGATGCCATGCACTGAGTAGAGGTCAAGCTTGACCGGAAGTTGATATGGTTGGTGTGTATACTCCACACGAATGAGTTACCCCTACAACACTTAATCACAAAATTGGATGGGAAGACCTTATCTAACAACAAATGGGCAGGTAAAATTGGCAATATGCCAGACACTGCAACAGAACTTGACATTGATCCTTCATTCAATAGAGTTTCAATTGGTGAGCCTCTCATTTCACTGAGCGACAGTGTTGTAAAGGATCTCTCTGTTAATCAAGTGTGTGTGTGGGGGGGGTCACACAGGCAATAAGGACAGGAGAACTTCTCACAGATCTGGCTCTTCTGGAAATTGGCCATTCACGCTGGTTGACAATTGCAAATAGGCTTTGTTGAATATGGGTTTGAAAACATGGCGTTAACAAAACATCTCCAAAACTTAGGAATGATAGTGGAATACATCATTGGTTTGAACTACCCTTGCTGGTTCAATATTGAAATAAAACATTCCTGGATTGAAGGCCCGTGTCATGTATTGTTCCAGCTGCAGCAAGTCAGACTGCAAATGAAGGCTGTAGTAGATGTGTTTTGCTCAGCATGGTACGCTTTCAGTGAAATGATAATCCAGACACTCTTGTGTTCAGATGACATTCAAGAGAGGAGAGCTGGTGTGCAAAAGATGATTGACTTGCAGAGTGCAGACAATGATGCGCTGGGAGATTTTTCTGTACGTGCAAGAAAAATGCCTTTAATCAATGCCAGAACATCCACTCTGCTGGAGCTGATTGACTGGTCTGAAGGTGTATATGATGTGCAAACTGACTACAGTGGAACTAAAGAAGTTCATTGATGAACCAATGCAAGTACCACAGTGGCCCTATCATGCCCAATCAATAGAAAGATGTGTGAAAGAGGTCACAGAGGCAGCAAGCAGAGTGTAGACACATGAGAAATGTGAGGATTATATCAGAAGCCAAGAAGCAAGTCGGCGGCTGATGTCGAAGAACAAATCAGAACAAGATTTGATTGAAATCACTTAAACATTTTTGTAACTCAGATAACTTGCTTTCTGATGTTAGTTTATGACTGCATGGATTATTTTTTGCTTAGCTAGATAAGATTCATGCAGAAAAAACTTTAATTTTTGTAGCACAAGGTGTAATTTTGAGAAGATTTAAGTTAACCGTATTTGGGTTACAAGAGACTTTTGTGGGGAATATGATCAGACATGGATTTACCATACCAAGC